GCCTATTTCCGTTTTTGTTTGCTTGTCCCGCTCCACAATCCCCGTTCAGGCCTTTTATCTAGTTGGAAACAGTTCAGGACTGGCTGTGGCCATTTGGTTTTAATTGAAAACTGTTTCTTTAATTTTCAAGGAGATATGTGCGCATGCATGATAGAACCTTCCGAGGGTGGGGCTGGGGTGCCCACTAGCTCAGGCACCCCTATAGTCACCCAAATGGAGGTGCGCTGGCACCAAGAAACCAATGAACAGCTACCAAAAGAGAAGAATATTCACACCTTTATCTCTGCAGTGCTGCCAGGCATCTGTGGCCACTCTGATCCTTCCCCCACTTGGTCTCACCCAAGATGGCAGCTCCTTGAGCAGTTGAGCATCTCAAATTAGAAAGCAATGGATTTCTTGCTTGTGCCACAAATTCCCCCAGCTGTAAGCTTTCCAACCTTCTAAATATTCCTTTATATGTGGTTCAGAGTTCTGGGACCATCCCCTGAGCCTGCTTGGTAGGGTATTCTGTGTTGTTGCTAACGGAGCTCCTTTACTGCACTTCCACCTGATCCACCATCTTGTTTGTTCTTCTTTCCATTATCTTTTAATTCCATTTTCCCACAAACTTTTGAAGTCCCTGTGCATGTTTTGATTATCTTGTCAGATACTTGTTTTCCAAAAATACTTTCCCAGTCCGTAGCATGTCTTTTCACAGCTTTCGTAGCCCTTTGATAAACAAAAGTTTTTTTTTTAATTTTTATGAAGTCCTGTTTATTCATCTTGTCTTTTGATCTTTGTGCTTTTGTTATTATATTAGACTATCCATTGTTAAAAGCTAGGCCTGACAGTGTTTCCCTGCTTTTTCTTTTAAGAATTGTATGGTTTTATATTTTACATGTAGGTCTTTAATCTGTTTTGAATTTGGTTTTATGTTTGGTATGAGACATGGATCATGTTTCATTTTTCTGCATGTGAAATCCAGTTTTCCTACACCATTTATTGAAGAGTTTCCTCTTTCCCCACCAAGTGGACTTAAAAATCAATTTTGAAAATTGTCAAAAATGATGTAACCCTAGATATGTGATTTTATTTCTGGACTTTGAATTATATAAGTACCAAACTCTTTAATTATTTTATATCTGTATTGTTCTTATATGTCTTTGAGTTGGTTTCAACTCATAACAAGTCTTTGTAGAGTCTCTGAGGCTTCAGGTTGTTGAGGGATCAAATGGTGTGTTTTAAAATCAGGAAGTTTGAGTCCTCCTCCTTGGTTCTTCTCTTTCAGTATTGTTTTAAGTACTTAGGTCTATTGCCATTACACATAAAGTTGAGGGTTGCTTTTATTTCTGTAAAAAGGCTGTTGGAATTTTGATACAGATGTGTTGTGCCTGTAGATCACTTTGGGGAGTTTGCCATTTTAACAACCGTAAGTCTTCTAATTCAAGAACATGGAACATCTTTGCATTCATTTAAATCTTCTTTCGTCTCTTTCAATATGTAAGTCCTTCATATCCTTGGTAAGAGTTTTTCTAGGTATTTTACTGTCTTATATGCTATTGTAAATGAAATTGTTTCCCTGATTCATTTTTAGATTTCTCATTAGACTTCTGGTATATAGAAACCTAACTGATTTCTTTCTTTCTTTTTATTGTGAACTGGGTTAAGATTTATAGAGCAAATCAGTTTTCCATTCAATAGTTATGGTGTTCTGGTGTGGCACTGTAGATAAAGTACTGGACTACAAGGTTATTTTGAACTGTAAGGTCGGTGATTCAAACCCACCAGACACTCCACAGAAACCCTATACAGGGTCACTATGAGTCGGAAATGACTCCATGGCATTTTCACAGCAGCAATTCAATAGTTATACACATCTTATTCCATCTCATTGATTGCAATTCCAACAATAAAATATCACTTAATCCATTTTTTTCTTTTCCTAACCCTTCATAACTTTGTTCTTCAATAAATGCTGTTCTTTTGGTCTCAAATGGCTGATTATTCTAAGGTGTATGTACCTTCCTGGTGTTATTTTACCCTTTATAGACCTATCTTCTCTTTGGCTGAAAATTGAGCCATAGAGGTGAGTTCATTTCCAGACCTGAAAGTGACCAAGGACCATAGTCTTGGGATCCCACCAGTCTCCGATCAGTAAGTCTGGTCTTTATTATGATTTTGAGTTTTGTTCAGTTCAAGCCTTGACTTGAAATATTGAAGGATTCTGTAGGTAAAATGGAGTCTTGGTATGGCACTGTGTATTAACATGCCAGACTTCAAAGCAGTTTGAACTGCAAGGTGGGTAGTTCAAGCTTACCAGCTGCTCCTTGGAAACCCTATACAGGGTCGCTATGGTTCGGAACTGACTTAGTGGCACTTAACAACAATGGGTAAAATGTTGAATGATATAGGCAGCATCAAAAGAAGTTGGAAAAAATACACAGAGGCATTGGTATCTAAAAGAATTGGTCTATGCTCAACCATTTCAAGAGTTGTCATATGATCAAAAACCATTGATACTAGAAAAATAAATTCAGGTTGCACTGGAGACATTGATGAGATACAAGGTTCCAGGAATTGCTGGAATACAAATCGAAATTTTTCAATAAACTGATGCTGTACTTGTCTGTGCCAGGAAATTTGGGAAACAACAACATGGCCAGCTGATAGGAAGAGAGCCATGTTTGTGCCCATTCCAAAGAGCGGTGACCCAATAAAATGCAGAGACTTCATCTCTTATTCCTCAAACATGTCATCAGGAGAGATCAGTCCCTAGAGAAAGACATCTTTCTTGGTAAACTTTAGGGCCAGTGAAAAAGAGGAAGATCCACTGTGAGATGGAGTGAAACAGTGGCAGCAGCTGTCATTGTGAGGATGGCACAGGACTGGGCAGTGTTTCATTCTGTTGTGTATAGGGTTGTTATGAGTCGGAACCATTTTAATAGCATCTAACAACAAGTGTTAACTTCAGAAATTGGGTACATACTCTATTTATTCTTTTAGTGGTTTCCTATTCCAAACCAAACCAACTTCCATGGAATTAATTACAATTCATATTGAACCTATGTAAGGTTTCCAGGGCTGTAAATCTTTATGAAAGCAGAAAACCTCTTTCAAACCTCTTTCTCCCACTGAGTGGCAGGTCGATTTAGAATTGTTGACCTTGTGGTTTGCATGCAGCACAACATGTAACCCACTGTGCCACCAGTGCTTCTTATGTTTTCATTCAGATGACATTTATTTTAAAGTCACTTAGCTCTGTAAGATCATAATTCACTCTGCCTCTTCTTGCCTTGGATTTTAATCTTTTCATTTTTCCTTCCTGTTGGCCTCATTCTAGATTTTTTTCTAAGTTAATTCAGTTAAGTACGTATTTCTCAAGCAAATTTTAAAATCAAAGCAAAGACTTCCTATTCATTCATTGGAATTGCAGCGCATTTTTCTTTTTTATTTAAGTAGTTATTGAGTGCTTATTAAAAATAGAACTAATGGCTAGATAACTGGTTTTTAATATACTGTTTTCTAATTTTACTTTTTAACAATACAGAATGTAAGAAGATTAGTATGCAAATAGGTTAAAATCACACTTCTAGGTCATGCCTGAAACTAGGGTAATACAATGTATAATTTGTGTGTGTCCTGGACTATGAATGTGTGTTGAAGCATACCACATTTTGTTTTTTGTTTTTGTTTTTTTTCCCCTTTAGCCCTCCAAGCCACAACATTGTGGTGAATGGAAAACAGTGTATAAACTTTGCCTCATTTAATTTTCTTGGATTGTTGGATAACCCTAGAGTAAAGGTGAGTAGCAGATAATGCTGAAGTGGCTAGATAACGTTACTGACTTAAGAAACTGGGCATAAATGAGAGAAAATTGCAGGTCAGAAAGGACAATACAAGTGTATGCTATATTTGTCTACCTGCTATGATCTGGATTTGGCAGAGGGAGACAAGAGCAGCTAGTATAGCTTAAGTGTTTCTTGAGAGCAAGGAAACTGCGTAAGACAAACCTAGTTAGTAGTTTGAGAAGTATCTAGGAAATTGTTCCACTTTCTACTAGAATTGTGAGCTGGTAAACATTTTTGTGGAAAGACTTCTTTATATGCCAACAATTCAAACTACAAGAAAGACGGGAATAAATATAAATAAAACAAACACAGACGAAAACCCTTGAACTCTGAGCTTCAAAGGAAATGATAGAGAAGTTGATCAAATACTGACTGGAAAAAGAAACTGAATGAAAATAGTAAAAAAATAGAACGATGAATTGTCAACTGGCTTGATACATTGTCGCTAGTGTGAATTATTGAAAGCCATGCTCCAGTTGGGGCAGGCACTTAACAACAACAACAACCTGATTATTAGCTCCACTTGCCCTGCACTGCAAAAGTACTCAAAACAATTGCTGGACACCAGAATGGTACCATCTTCTCCTTATTCCACAAAGTGTTCCAGGTGACCAGAGTGTGGTCAGACCCCACTCACTGGGCAACCTCTGATCTCTCTGAGGTCAGAGATGCGCCCTCATGGGTTAGGCTCAGTATGTACACCACCTCCGTGTTTGGTGGTTCGGATTTTGCTTCCTAGGCCCAGCAGAAAGTGCAGTGTCAGATATGATGACTTGCCCCAATCCATCCTCTGGTCCAACAGGAACTCCTTGCAGAACCAGGTGCCCAACCCCCTTGCATGCCATCTCAGCCAGTAAAGCTTGCTGACGCATACCAGGTGCCCTGCCTCCATCCCCACCCCTAGTCACTTCCTTGGCCAGAAGAGCACTGTCCTTGGCACTCACCGCAACCCATTTTCATTTTTTTTGTCTTTTCTTTCCCTTCCCTTGTTTTTTTTTTCTGGGATTCCCTTTTTTCTGTCATTTTTTTTGTCTTTCTCTTTTCTTTTACACCCCCTTCCCTAGTTTTTTTATCCTTTTTTTCCTTCCTTTTTTAGATACTCTTCCTTTATCTTGGTTTTTCTTTTTTTCTATTTTAATTTTTTTGAATACAGAGGACAGAGTGACTCAAGCAAAATTCAGAGACAAAACATTCTTCTGAGAAATAAATGGCATTGAAAGTACCTGATAAATATTTCAAAACAAGGATGCTTTGTGTCATATAAACAGATTGAGAGAAAGATAGAGGAAACCAGACAAAATAAAGGAAAACAAGACAAAACTCTAGAAGAATTCAGCTAAACATTCAGTAGCAAATTGATAAGTGAAAAATTAGAAACCATACATGAACAGCAACTCGAAATCCAGAACATTTAGTACCAAGATTTCAGAAGTAGGTAACACAGTAAAAGGGCAAAGGAGTAGAACTGATAAGTGGAAAACAAGTAGCGAGATTGAAGACAAGTTTTTCCATATTAATTAGTTGCAAGAATAACCGAAAAGAAAAAGCAAAAATTGAAAGCCTAACAATTAAGTGGGATACCGTCAAGAGGATTAACTTACTGGTGATCAAAATTCCAGAATGGGAAGAGTCAAAAGCACACAGAAAGTTTTTGAAAATTTGTTGAAAGAAAACTTCCCTAGCATTAGAAACGATAAGGTACACATTCAGGAAACTCAAAGACCCCCAAAGAAAATCACCAAGATATATCATAATCAAACTTTCCAAAACCTCAGACCATGAAAAAATACTGAAAGCAGCTCAGAATAAACAAAAAGTTCTATGAAGGAGAACCAAAAATACTAGGTGCTGATTTCTCAGCAGAAACAATGTAAGCAAGAAGGCAATGGGATGATACATGCAAAAATCTAAAAGAAATTGCCAATTCAACTAAGAATTAATTAACTAGCAAAATTGTCCCTCAGATATGGTGAAATTAATACTTTTCCAGGTGAACACAAATTAAGGAAATGTATGAAAATTTATAGACTATACTACAGTGAGTTCAGACAACTACCTGAGATTAATACAAATGACATCATCCATCTGGGTTTGATAATTCATCACAGTGGCCACACAGAACTCAGACACCATACAGTTAAGGGTTGTGTTAGGTCTGCACTGTAGGATCAGTCCAGGACTACCAACTGCAAGGTCAGCAGTTCAAACCCACCAGCCACTCCTTGAAAACCCTATACAGGGTCATTATAAGTTGGAACTGACTCAGTGACACTTGACAACAACAGTTGGTTGCAATTCAGGGTCCAGAATGCTCAGGACACTCTTCTGCCATTCAGGAAAGTCTCTTTGACCTTGCCCATAGGCAGACCTCTCTGTTCAGCCAGTGTTACAAAGCTAGGCTTCTGATAAATGCTTACAGGTCACATTGCTCCACCATAAGCCTCAGTTTGAAGACATTTGACTCCAGCTCCAAGGGTCATCAAACCCAGCTCTCCCAATTAAATGCCTGGAGGCACCCCACTCTATAAGCAAGTTTCCTGCCCAGAGTCACTCAATTTTACTTGCTCTGTGGACTGTAAAGCACACCGCTCTCTCTCATGCTCTGATTCTTGGTTCTGCTGCTGCTACTCCTCTGCCACTTCTCTGTTGTCACAGCTTTCTGTCCCTATGTCAAATAGGTTCAATGTGCAGGGGTCTTGTGTTCCACCCCTGGCACTTCTTTGATGGTAATGAGACCCCCCACTTCTGTTTCTGAGATGGTTCATTTTATACCAGTGCTATATAGTGTCAAACTTTTGAAATAATAAACCTGTAACTATAATGAATATCAGAGGAAAATAGGGTCAAACTTAGGGGCCTAATACATTGCAAATATACACTATCAAACACAACTAAATGTGTCCAAAACAGCAGGAGACAAACTAGATGATGTAGCCTTCTAAAAACTAAACTTACATTAAAATATTTAACCAAAAGAGTAAAGAGAGAACCCACAGACTGGGAAAAATTTTGGCAATGACATTGAGAGTAATCTCTAAAATTTATAGAACACTTTAGCAATAAAATTAAACTAAAAAACAGGCAGGGAACATGAATAGACACTTTACCAAAGAAAACAGTCAGGAGGCCAAAAAACATGAACAATGCTCACAGTCCTTACCCATTGTTTTTAAGTGCCGTTGAGTTGATTCCGATGTGTTTGAACCACTGGCCCTGTGGTTCAAACCGTTCTTATGGTCCAGTGATTATCCTACAGCACCACACCAGGACTCTAAGTAATACCTTTGTTGTTGTTAAGTACTGTTGAGTCAGTTCCAACTCATAGCAATCCTGGGTCAGGTTTCTGAGAAGCAACTGGTGGGTTTGAACCGCTGACCTTGTGGTTCGCAGTCTAGTGCTTATCCTGCGAGACAATACTAGGACTCTCTAGCCATTGTTGTTGTTAAGTGCTGCCAAGTCTGTTCCAACTCATAGCCACCCACTGTAAGCTTTCTGAAGAACAACTGGTGGGTTTGAACTGCCAACCTTGTAGTTAGCACCACAGCAGGACTCCATTTGTTGTTGTTAGTGCCATCAAGTCGGTTCTGATGCATAGTGACACCATATAGGGTTTCCAAGGAGCAGCTGGTGAATTTGAACCCCCGACCTTGTGGTCTAGTGCATATCCTACAGCTCCACACCAGGACTCCATTTAGAGAGATGCAAAAATTGAAGTGACAATGAAATATCATCTCACCCCAGAATTAATGTTGTTGTTGTTAAGTGCTGACAAGTTAATTCTGACCCATAGCAACCCTGTATAGGGTTTCCAAGGAGCAGCTGGTGAGCTTGCACCACCAACGCTGTGGTTCAAACCGACTTTGCAGTCCAGCACATTTGCTCACAGCGCCACACCAGGACTCCTAACATTAATAGTAAAATTCAAAAAAACAAATATTGGTGAGAGTGTAGAGAAACTGGAACCCTATACACTGCTGGTGTTGGTGTTGTTGTTAAGTGCCCTTAAGTTGGTTCCAACTCTAGTCCCCTTATGTAGGACTTCCTAGGAGCACCTGGTGTGTTTGTACTGCTGACTTTGCAGTGCAGACCAACCTTGTTATCCAGCGCATTATCCTGCAGTGCCACACCAGGACTGCTGGTGGTATTGTAAAATGGTACAGCAATGGTGGAAAGCAGTATGACATGTACTTAGAAAGTTGAAAGTAAGAATACCATGTTGTTAATGTTAGGTGCTGTTGTGTCAGTTCTGAGTCATAGCAACCTTATGCATAACAGAATGATATAGTGCTTGGTCCTGCACCATCCTCACAGTTGTTAATGTTTGAGCCCACTGTTGCTGCTATTGTGTCATTCCATCTTGTTGGGGGTCCACTGTGTTTCATTGACATGCCACTTTATCCCTATGATGTCCTTCTCCGGGGACTGAGCCCTCCTTCCTTGCTTCTAAGCCAACCTCATTTCTAAGGAGCATTCCAGCTGTACTTCTTGCAAGACAGATTTGTTTGTTGTTCTGGAAATCCATGGTACTTCCAATATTCTTTACTAATACCATAATTCAAATGCATTGATTCTTCTGTGGCCTTCCTTATTCATTGTACAGCTTTTACATGCATATTGTTATTGTTGTTGTTACGTGCTGTGGAGTCGGTTCCGACTCATAGCGACCTTGTACAGGGTTTCCAAGGCTGTAAATCTTTACGGGAGCAGAAAGCCTCATCTTTCTCCTGCGGAACAGCTAGTAGTTTCAAACTGCTGACCTTGTGGCTCGCAGCCTGATTCGTAACCACTACGCTACCAGAGATTAGGCCATTTAAAATACCATGCCTTAGGTCAGGCACACCTTAGTCCTCAAACTGACATATCTTGCTCTTTAACACTCTAAAGAGGTCTTCAAACTCACCAGATTTGCCTAATGCAGTATGTTTGATTTCTTGACTGCTGTTTCCATAAGTATTGACTACCATATGATCCAGCAATTCCACTGCTAGGTATATATATTCTGGATAAGTAAGAGCCCTGAAACAGATACGGTATATGTATACCCTTGTTCATTGCTGCATACAGTAGCAAAAAGATGGAAACCATATAAGTGCCCATCAGTGGATGCATGGATAAACTGTGATACATACACACAATAAAATAGTATGTGATTTTAAAGATTAACAATGAATCCTTAAAACACCTCATGGATGAACCTGTAGGACATTATGATGAGTAAAATTAGTCAAAAGGATGAATACTGTATGAGGCTACTATTACAAAAAACTGTTTTCACACAATAAGAATCATCCTTTTATGGTTACTAGAAATGAAAGTGGAAGGAAGGGTAAATTACTAACTAGAGGATAGATGCATATTAAATTGGATGAAGAAGAAGGCAAAATACAATAAGGGAAAGTCAGCAAAAAATTATCAAGGCAAGGAATGCACTGGAAGCAGTACAAGGGTTAAAGCCTGCAAAGCTGAATACTGTTATATATAGTCCTGCAATAACAGTAATCTGCAAGTGGATTCATAGATAGGTATGCAAGCTGAACAGGTAGAGAAAATAGTTTATCTCCAAATATCTGTATGTTTGACAAAGGATATTTCTGCAAATACATCCATTTAGCTAGAGCATAAAGGGAACAAAAGTATGTACATTTCTTAGCCATCACCAAATACCTCAAGGGAATGAGTCACTCGGCCTGGGGCCTCAGAACCAGTCTCAGCACACAATCTAGGTCATTTGGAAAAACCATCTATAAATTTTCTACATCTTACTTTGGTGAGTGGCAACTGGGGTCTTAAAAGCTTGTCAGTATCCATCGAAGGTGCAGCCTATGCTCTCCCATCTGGAACAAAGAAGAGTGAAGAAAATCAAAGATGTCTGGAAACAATTAGTCCAGAGGGACTAATGGGCTGTGTGAACCTTAATCTCCATGACCCTAAGATCTGAAGAACTAGATGGATGGTGCCTGGATTCAGCTACCTACTACTATGAAAGGAATCACATTATAATGTCATGTCTAGAGTGGAATAAAATTATGGGATAAAACTCAAAATTATTTTTAAAAACAGGTCTATAGCAGCCATCTTGTACCCTGACTGTGTGTGCCTAGTATTAGCTACCAAAGCACCCAAATGCCAGCCCTAATCCCCTGCACCGCCCCATGTCTGCTCTAACAAGATGAAAGAAACAGTTATGAATAGTGGGAAAAGAACTGCTCACAGAAAGGTGGTTCATGGAACAGCTCCAGCAGATGACAAAACAGTTCTCTACAGAAATTAGGGATAAAACAATTCCTCATGTAGTGAAGAGGTGACTATGTTCACAAACCAAGGAACAGTGATCCACTTTAACAATCCTAAAGTTCAGACACCTCTACCAGTAAACTCACCACTACCAGTCATACTGAGGCAAAGCAGCTGAGAGAAATGCTCCCCAGCATCTGAAACAGTCTTGGCACAGTCTGAGTATAAGAAGACTGGCTGAAGCTATGCCCAACCATCTGGCTGGAAAAGCACCACTTGCTACTGGAGAGGAGGATAATGATGATGAAGTTCTAGTTCTTGTGGAGAATGTTGATGAGGCATCCAAGAATGAGACTATCTCAGTTATCTAGTGCTGCTATTCTGTATATACACCACAAGAGGATGACTTTAACAAAACAAAATTTTTGTTTCTAATTTGTAAACTGAGATAACATAGTTTAGGAGACTAGAAGTCCGAATTCAGAGCAGGAGCTCTGAAGAAGGGTCCATGTCTCCATTCAGCATCAATAGACCCAGTATTCCTTGGACTTCTCCATGTGGCTTAGCTTCAATTTTTCTCTAGATTTGTTGTTAACATTTTCAGAAAATTTTCTTAACATTTGTTGTTAAGTGCTGTCGAGTCAGTTCTGACTCTTAGTGACCCTGTGTAGGGTTTCCAAAAGTGACTGGTGAGTTTGGACCACTGACCTTGAGGTTTAAACCAACTTTGCAGTCCAGCGCCTTAACCCACAGCACGACACCAGGACTCCTCTACATCTAGGAGCTTCGTAATACAGGGACCTCAGGACCAAAGCACTAATCCGCTCCGGGCTCTTCTCTCTTGATGGCAGTGGGTTTCTCTTTCTCTACTCACCTCTTTCCTTTTAGATCTCAAAAAAGATTGGCTCATGATACACATGATACAACGTAATCCTGTAGGTTGCATCCAACCTCATTAGCATCATTTTGTTAAGTGCTATTCAGTCAGTTTTGCCTCATAGTGACTTGGTATAGGGTTTCTAAGGAGTAGCTAGTGAGTTTGAATCACCAACCTTGAAGTTCAAACCAGCCTTGCAGTCCAGTGCATTATCCTGCAGCACCACACCAGGACATCAGTATCATAGAAGTGAGGATTTACAACACAGAAGATAATTACATCAGATCTGGGTTGAGAACATCAGATCACATCATGGAATTGATTGGTTGCTTATATTAGATCTCATAGTGGAGGTGTTAACTACCTCTTAACAGCTAAACTGTTGAGAATCCTGACCCAAGCAAGTTGACACAAAGCCTTAACTATCACAGATGCTAAGTGATTTGTGTTGACTTCTGAAGAAGAAAAAACGTCAATGACTTACTTGGAGCCACTATTTTGTATTATTAGTTTTTTAAAATTTGTTTTGTTTATGGATCTAATAAAATGTAGAAGTTTAATATTTGTAAGCCCATTGCAGTGTTTTTCAGTGTGTGCTTATACATAAGTCATTCTTTGTAGTCAAAGAAGCCTGGGAATAAAATTTGAAACAAAAGTAATTAAAAAAAAAAAGATCAGGCTTAGACTAGTTAGAGACTGGTGGAGCCCTCAAACTGTGGCTGATTAATCTCTTTTCTGGTATGAAACAACTCATCCTTGTGGTTCAGTTTTCAACCAAATAATGTACAGGTATATATGGTGAACATTAACGGAAGAGAAGTATACACACCTTAGGGTAATCAATCATTTGAGATGAAAAGGGCAGTATTTACCTAAGGACAAAAGTTCATAAGGCAGGAAGGGTTAGGAAAGGAGGAGGAATGGAAATGGAAATTACAGGGTAGAAGTGGACTGGGTGCTGGTGCATTGTGGGGACTGCAATCAGTGACATGAAACAAATGTGTATGAATTGTTGAGTGGAAAACAGATGTGCTTTGCAAACTTTCACCTAATTCACAATAAACAGTTTTTTTTTAAAAAAAAAAAGGTCTAAGGATACTGGGTTAACCAGATTTTGAGAATTGAGCTAATATAATTAATATTTTAAAAGTAATTTACTTTTTTTTTTTAAGTGCTGTTAAGGTTCTAAGAAAAAAGATTTGTAGGTTAAAGAATAGGAATTATCAGTTTGGGCTCTTATAAAGTGAAATTGTTAATATATATATATATTTTTTTTTTAATTGAATAAAGGCAGCAGCTTTAGCATCTCTTAAAAAGTATGGCGTGGGGACTTGTGGACCTCGAGGATTTTATGGCACATTTGGTAAGTTTTTCTAGTATTCTTTTTCATGCTACTACTTTCAAGAGTTAAGATTCAATCTTATTTAAGAACACCTTGGAAAAGATGCCTTTGTAGTAGTTTGGTATGTGGGGAATTTGTTGGGCTTGAATATAGTTTGTGGAGAGCTGTAAGACACATCTCAGGCTGTGTTGTTGTATCGGTAGGATAGACACTAAGCTGCTGTTGCAGATTCCCAAGAGACAGTAAAGCGAGAAGACAGTTTGTTCTTGTCATTCATGACAAAGGGTCCGGTTGTAGGGTAACTCTGCTTTTTATAATCTTTCAGGGACTCAGTCCTCCCTGTCTTGTGGTATTCCAGGATACCCTTTGTCTGATAGCCAAAGCCAGGTGGTGAATATGGGGGAGCAGAGGTGTTCTTTTAGGCAGATGAGGTAGTCTTACGCATTTTTCCTGCTCCCACTCTGTTTGTGAGAGCATAATGCCAACCATGCTGAGCCACAAAGGAGGGTGGAAAATAGTTGGGTGGCCATTTTCCAGGTAGAAAAGAAAGGACTGATTTGGGGAGTGGGGTCAGGAAGAGGGTAAAGTAAGGTCGCTTTTTTCTTTGGGAAATGAAGGTGAAAGGATCTTTGACAGTTTTGTGTGTTGATGACTTTGTATTTTGATGAGTGTATAATGTCACATAATGTGAACTCTATAGCTTAGAGTCTTCAACAAAGACCCTCACATTTTATAGTTGTATTTATTGAGGTTTTTTTGCTTCTGATAATGTCATAAAATAATTGTTCAAATTAATATATTACTGGAAATAACATTTCGGCTGAAAAATGTAAGGTTGTAGAAAATGTAGAGAAAGAGAAGTGTCTTTTATCTTCTATTTCCATTTTTATTCCTGGGTCTTTTTATTTACTTTTACTGTAACAGTTATGTTGTTTTTATGTAAGGAAACACTTTTTTATATTTTAACTAGTTTGGTGGTCTAATTACTTGTATTGGAAACAGATGAAAAGAGTTAATGTTCAAGTCTTTGACAGGTGTAAGGGATCTCAAGGATTGTGTAGTCCAACATGCCAACTATCCAAGAAGTCCATTAATTTTAATACTGAAACTAGAAATCAAGTATCTTTACTTATTTCTCATTTTGATGACAAAATCAAAGACTTAAAAAGTACTCAGATTGGATTATTTTTTCTCCAGTCTGGTGTAAACACAAGTTGTTTACTAGGATTTTCTGGGTAAAGAAAAACTTCCTTAACAACAACTGGAAAACCAGAGAAGGCTATTTTTAAATAGGGTTTGTTGTATTCTGATCAACACACCTATATTGTGACCTACTTTTCCATTAAAAAAAAAAAAAAAAAAATGCTTTCCGAAAAGCTTCTTTTTCTAGAGAATTTTGTTTGTATGTGTGACCTTGGCGCCCACATGGAAGTTAGTCTGGTAATACAGAAAAGAGATTTATTGCCAAATCAAATCATGGGGGAAAAATATTTCAAATCTTCAAGACCTGTTTTCCCAAAGCTGTGGAAATGAACCAAGGGACTTCAAAAAGTTCATGGGAAAATTCCATTTCTTTGTTTTACTTTTTAATGTGAATTGAATGAAGGTTTACAGGGCATAGCATCAGTTTTACATTCAAAAAGTAATATACCTTGTTTCATTTCAATGATTACAATCTTCTCATTATAATCAGTTCTGTCACTCCTTCCCTGTGATTCTTATTTCCATTCCACCTTCTTTCCCACCCCTTCTGAATTTTGTTTCTAGGTATATGCTGCACTTTTGATCATGAATAGTTGACCATTCCATGGTGTGCATACCTCATTAGTATTGTTGCACCCACCACATACTTAACACTGCTGGGCTGAAAATTGAGCCATGAGATTGGGTTCAGTTCTAGAACTGAAGGATGACCAGGGTCACAGTCTCAAGTTCCTCCAGTCTCTTTCTGATGAGTAAGATTGGTCATTGTTATAATTTTGAGTTTTGTTCCACATTTTCTCCCACTCTATCCAGAACCTTTTAATGTAATTACTTTCAGAACAATTGGTAGTTGTAGCCAGGCACCATCTAGCTCTGGTCTCAGGATCATTCAATTATTCCATTAGTCCATTGGTTCCATTGGACTAATTGGTTCCAAGCATTTTCAGTTTTCATCACTCATTCCCTCCACACAAGGAGAAACCAATAGTTTGCACTTTAGTATTTTTTCCTTGTCTTTGGTTTTGAAGAGTTTGATTATTATATGCCTTGGAGACTTTCTTTTGGGGTCTGTCCTTCCTGGGGTACGTTGGGTTTCTTGAATGTTTATCTTCTCGTCTTTCGAGATGTTAGGGAAGTTTTCGTCCAGAAGATCTTCAACTATCTTCTCTGTGGACTTCTTTGATTCTTCTTGTTCCAGAATGCCAATAATTCTTACATTATTCCTCTTCATGTTATCCAGCATGAATCTTAGACTGTCTTCAGATTGTTTTATCCTTTTAGCTGTTTGCTGTTCTATCTTGGCAATATTGAGAGATTTGTCTTCCAGTTCGCTAGTTCTGGCTTCTGTCTCTTCTAGTCTGCTCCTTTCCCCTTTCAGCCTATTGTCTATTTCTGGTATCTTATTATTGATCACCTGGACATCTTTTTGCAGGTTTTGAATTGTTTCCATTGCTGTGTCAATCCTATCAGATTGTTCCTGCAGTACTTTCCTTACTTCTTCCTTATTTTCCTCAACCCCTTTTCGGAGTATTTGAGTTTGTTTCCATATCATTCTTCTGAATTCCCTCTCAGGTATATCCAGTACCCGCTTCTCCTCCTCTATAAAACCTTTGTCTGTCTCCAGCTCATTTGTATCTGATGCTCTCTTCTGCTTTTGGATGTGTTTCGATAATGTTAATTGTTTCTTGTTGGGCATGATTATTCTTATTTATTATAATTATTATTGATATGATCAGGAGATAGGCATCCCTTATTGTCTGTATTGTGTATTAGGTGTGGTTAGGTCTTGTCTACATAGAGGCAGTGGTGAGCAGGCATGCATGCAGTCCGGCGGGGGCGGGCGTGCGTTTCGGCAGGGGCGGCAGGGGTGGGCACGGGGTCTGGCAGGGGGGGGGTCGGGGCTCGGTTCTAGGGGGGAGTGCGTTGGGCGAGCTCGGTTCAATCAGGCAGGATGGAGGCCGCTCAGGCGGGTGGGTGGAGTCCGCGTCTGATGACGTCAGAAAGTCGCCGTATTTCTCCTTCTCTCTGTGTCCTGGGTAGATTGATTTTCTTGCCTACCTCATGCACTGAGATTCCATGCTAGGGTAGAGATCCCTCCCTTTTTTTTTTTGTCTCTTGCGGCTTTGTTCAAGATTCCCCTTTACTGGAAGCACCGCTCTCCATACAGGCTGGCTCAAGCCCCATCCTCCAAGCTCTACAGGGGTCGGGGCTGTCACTGCACGCAGTGGCAGGCAAAAGTTCAAAATGCCAATAATTCCTCCATAATTTTTGTTTTAATTATGTGATTTTTTTTAAAAAAGCAAGTTTAGGAGGTTGAAACACTAAGTCTTATGATGGTTGTAAGGGTGTGGGTCCACTACAGGACGGTTTCCTTCGCAAGGTCCCCCTCCCTTGTCCCCAGAGCTCCCCTTACCCACGTTGTCTGGCCACAGTGGTGAACCGGAAAAGCAATAGTTTCACTTTAGATGGCCGCTCATGAGTTTTTAAGATTCCAGACCCTAGTCACATAAGTAGTTTGTAGAAAATTGTTTTTGTGGACTCTTAAGAAAGTTAACCATGTTGCCACCCAACAATGTGGTCCTGAGCCCTCAGCCCCAGCAACTCATTCCCTCAAGGTGTTGGTAATATTTAAGAAATACTCATAATTTTGCCCCCTGTATGCTATACCACATTTTTGGATGTGTTTACATCAAAGGTAAAATACCTGCATACAAATATCTTCTATCAAACTTTCATGTATTTGTGGGTATACTTCCATTCTCCCTCCCATATCCGTTCTGACTGTGTTTCTATCCATGTATCTACCTGTGTGTGTATGTATATGGAGTCCTGGTGTGATGCTACAGGTTAATGCACTGGACTGCAAAGTCGGTCTGAATTGCGAGGTCAGTGGTTCAAGCTCCCCAGCCACTCTTTGAAAACTCTATACAGGGTCGTTATGGGTTGGAACCGATTCGACGGCACTTAACAACAACATATATGTTGTTAAGTGCCGTCGAATCGGTTCCAACCCATAGCGACCCTGTATAGGGTTTCCAAGGAGTAGCTTGAACCACCGACCTTGCAGTTCAAACAGATTTGCAGTCTGGCGCATTAACCCACAGCGCCATACCAGGACTGAACAACAAATATATGTGTGTATATATACACACACACATACACAATATGAAGGAGCTCTGGTCACATAGTGGTTATGAGTTGGGCCGCTAACCTCAAGGTCAGCAGTAGAAAACTACCAAAGGTTCCACAGGAGAAAGATGAGGCTTTCTGCTCCCATAAAGATTTGCAGCCTCAGAAACCCTATATAAGGTCTCTATGAGTCAGAAACAACTTCACAGCACATAACCATCACCACCAACCATATACAATATACATACATATAAAGAGAAGTTGATTATCTTACAATTGTGGAGTCCCAGGTTCCCAGCGTGAGAGAGAGAAAGTCCCTCCCATGTGTCCAGTTATATTGGGAGCAGACCACACCTCCTAGGGAGCATTCCTTCAGTTGATTGGATGCTCATAGATGCTAATCATGGAGCTAACGATGCCTGTATTAGGTTTTACCACCATGGGAATAAGCACATCTCAACTACTGAAGCTCTGGAAATCCTGGCCTAGTTGAGTTGACAGAAAACCCTAACCATTACACCTATATTCCCTTTTACACTTGCGCTCCTCCCTTTGTCTTCCCCTGTCTGCATCATTCTGCCACCAACCTCTGTCTTGGTGTATATTGCCTTTACCATCATCCAAGTTAGCATACTACTCTCCCATCTCTCTGATTCCTGGTAACTGTCAAAGAATATTTCTGTCTTGAC